ATCGCTTCTCCGCCTTTTGGCTAAGATCAAGGGCAGACATAGCATAAAAGTTACTTTCTTTTATCCTGTTGGGTAGCTTTGCTTATACATCCCATTAGATGAATTCAAATCTTCCTTGAGTCGATTCTTAGCTCCCCAATTCAAACACTTATGAAATAGCTAAACAATAACAGAGAGGCCACTCAGTTGAGGTGACGGGGAGGCCACACAGGTGTTTGAAGCAGTCACTGTGTTAAATTGCTGAACATGAACGTGGAAGCAGCTCTGCATTCTTTCAAGGGCCGATGACTGAGTCCATTTAAAGGTGGCTCTTCATTAAAGGTGGCTCTTCATTTTTCTCTAATAAGCTTACAGGAACCGAATCAAGTTCTAAGCTATCTCTGTCATGGACCCCGTACCACGTCGGGGGCATCTGGGGGCAGTCATGTGTAGGAAGCTTCCACACAGCCCTAAAACCAACCAAACAACGAGGCAGGAAAAGCTGAGGTGAGGCACAAATGGCCAAACCCTCCAATTCTCTGCCAGGACACTGGAGCCCGGTGGTTCTGGGTAAAGAAATTTCTACCACGCCCGGCTTGGGCCCCACCGCCAGCCTGTACCACATCCGCCCGCCTGGGGCTGGCATTTCCTTCCCCAGTGTGGGTGGAAGAGGCCCAGGAGTGCTTTCTTAACATAGGCCGATTTTGCAAAGGGAGAAGTGACAGCTGCAGGTAGCCACGACTGCTGAGGGGCAGGAAGAGCCTGGGATTCCAACATCCCACCAACCCACCCCTGTGCCCCCAAGAAGCCTGGGTGGAAGGGCAGCCAAGTACAGGCCCCAGAGAGTCGGGGAAAGGGCTTCAGAAGACTAACAGGGTGAAGGATGAAACAGACGGGCCCAGGAGGGGATACCAGGGGTCGGGGCAGGCAGATGACACATCCGTCCCTTAGTCCTGGCCTGGCTTCCCTACTGGGTGCCGCTGTTGAAATGATGTTCAATTTGGAGCCAAAACTCCAACGTTGTCACAGCTGGGGTCCAGGCAGGCTGGGAGGTGAGCAAACTGAGGGAACCCCACTGTGTACTGGAGGTTCCTGCCTCTAGTTTTTGTAAAAAAAAACAAAACCAAAGTCTTTAGAAGAAAATGTAGCTCATAGACAACAGAGGAAGAAGAACATAAAAGTGTATACGGAGACAATGAACACCCTCGCCCTGAAACAAGCCAGTTTGAGGTGCTGACAGGGGCTCTGTGGTTTCCACAACAGATTTTCACGGGACTTTACAGACTTATTTACAGATATTATTCTCACAGATTTTCACGGGCCTTTATAGGCCCTGTTGGCTGCTGACCCTCCTGAAAATCAATCAAATTACCTTTTGTTTTTATTTTTTCTTTTTAGCAATGCTGTCTCACCATTGACCTTTCAAGGGACTCTAAGTCCAAGTGATTTTGCCAAAATGATGTGACAGCAAGTTGTTCTTCTCTGGAAAGGGGGGGCAGGAGGATATCTCTAGTTAAATAAGTTTAGCAAATACTGTACACAAGACATTTTCTGGGAGGGTCACCTGGCAGATTTGCTTTGAGAAGCCCTAGAGTCACCCAGCCTTTCTGAAATATATTTAACATTTACATCCTCAACACAAGACATCCTTTGAATTCAGCATTCCAAGAAGTCGTCACTGGGAAACCTGCCCCCAGTCCGGCTCACACGTGCCACGAAGCCGCATGCTGTCCACCTAGGATGGTGCGTTTAGGCTTTGTGCAGCCAAAATGCAAGACCCCACATTTATTCCTGGAACATGCCACCCCGATAGATTCTGCCCCACCGACCCAGCCTGTCGGGGTCTTTTGGAACTTGATGCTTGGAATCATGTTTGTTTTGGACCCGTACCTCCATGTGCGTACACACACCTGCAGGAAAGGGGAATGCTTAGGTGAACGGCAGTCTAGCCCTGCACACGCTGATCCTCCTGGGAGGTCAGGTCTGGGCCAGTTCCTTCCCATACATACAGAGCTGATGGTGGGGCCCTTCCAGAACATCCAAAAAGAGTTTTATATGGCTTCCAGGGAGATGTATTCAGTTGAAGTTGTTTTTCCATCAAATGGCCCCAAAGTACAAAGTGGCTGCTGGGAATTTGAATTACATTACCTAATGCAGGAGCAGCTGCGGTACCCACAGGGGAAAGGAGAAGGGAGCTCATGTCTGGGAGTTGGGGGTTCATTAACACTTCTTAAATTAGCAAATCTTTATATAGCACAAGTTTAAAAATAGCAACCTAATAGTTTCTAAAATTAGCCATCATTGCTCTCCATAAATATTTAGGCCTCCAATAAATTTCTAGTCCACTTGCCTTGCCTACTGGGGTTAAACCAGGCTGAGCTTTTATGCCACATTCTTTAGGATCAGAAGACTTAATTATTGACCTTGACAAGTGAGAGCTGTGAGAAGCCCCAGAATGCACAAAGTAGGAACAGCCGTGGGGATGTCAGGGTGCAGGTGGGGCCGAAAGGGTCTCAGAGGCTCTTCGCTGATCTGGATGCTTAAAGGGGTCAACTGTTCTGATTTACTTTGGACTGTCCTGGTTTTAGCACTGAAATTCCCCTGTCCTGGGGAATCCCTTCAGTCCCCAGGAAACCAAGACAATTGGTTGTCCTGACTACCTAAGACGCTGCAAAAAGATCAAGGCCACTCTTCTGGGACAATTTTTTTTTTTTTTTTTAAAGACAGAGTCTCACTTTGTCACCCAGGCTCGAGTGTGATGGCATCACAGCTCATGGCAACCTCACACTCTTAGACTCAATTGATCCTCTTGCCTCAGCCTCCCACGTAGCTGGGACTACAGGTACTTGCCACAACATTCAGCTAATTTTTCTGTTTTTAGTAGAGATGGAGTCTCACTCTTGTTCAGGCTGGTCTTGACCTCCCGAGCTCAAGCAATCCTCCTACCTTAGCCTCTCAGAGTGCTAAGATTACAGGTGTGAGCCACTGCACCTAGCCTCTTCTGGGACATCTTTGGGGAAAACATTCTGCTCCCCAGAATCTGTCACTGATACAGCCTGAAGCCCTCATACTAACTTCAATCCCATTTATTAATATTTGTGGCAGGTTAACCCTTCAAGATAGGTTAAAAAAAAAAGTAATAATAATATTTGAGGCAGGGCGTATATAAACAAAGAATGAAACCATGGACAGTGCTAGTTGGGCCAGGCACAGAACTGTCACCCTGTACATCCCGGTTTGCCCACACATAAACAGAGATGTTAACAGCCGCTGTTTCATCAAGTTGTTGAAACTGGTTTACATCTAGTAGAGGATTTCTTAACAGCCTAGGATTAAAACTGAGAGGGCTGTGGAACCCCACAGACGGTCCCTGTCACCCAGGAGATGCCCTGCAGCCTCCACTGCTTAAACATAGCACATTCCTCTGCTCTGAGAAAGAAGGAAGAAGCAGGTTTTGCCTACTGAATTCTTTGCTGGTTGAGGGACACTGAAGTGACATCAGCAGCAGAAATGCTTTCCTTTTCTCCCTCCAGAACCAGAAACCACTTTAGGGCATGAATGAAGCCTGGCTCCTGCATTTTAAAAAGTAGTTCAGGCCCAGCACAGTGACTGACACCTGTAATCCTAGCACACTCGGAGGCCAAGGCAGGAAGATCCCTTTGAGCCCAGGAGTTTGAGAGCAGCCTAAGAGCCAGACCCTGTTTCTACAAAACGTAGAAAAATTAGCCAGGCGTCGTGGTGCACTTGGCACTACACAGGTGCTACATGCCCTTACCCCAGGATGTGCTCTGGATTTTGCTATACTTAGAATTTTTTTAAAACCTTTGAAATGAGGTGGCACCTGTGGCTCAGTGAGTAGGGTGCCGTCCCCATATACCGAGGGTGATGGGTTCAAACCTGGCCCCAGCCAAACTGCAACAAAAATAGCCAAGCATTATGACAGGAGCCTATAGTCCCAGCTACTTATGAGGTTGAGGCAAAAGAATCACCTAAACCCAACAGCTGGAGGTTGCTCTGAGCTGTGACGTTACTGTACTCTACCAAGGGTGACAAAGTAAGACTGTCTCCCCACCCCACCCCCCAAAAAACACCTTTGAAATGGCTCCACATTCCCAAATTCTGAAAGCCAGGTAGCAGTCTCTGTTTACAATAAAGCCACCTTCCCAAAGTTCTCGGTCATCACAGCTGGGGTGAATAGGGTGTGAATGGAGGCCTAAGCCAGAGGAGAGGGGTGCTGGCCTCTGGTCCAGGCTGCAGCTCCTAAGGAGCTGGTGGCCTTGGTAATTTCTGTCGCTGGCATCAGCTGGCAATCTGTACATCACACCCAGCTCTACAATTTGAAGGCAGTGCCTGATCTGCTTATGAAGGTAGGCCCCTCCCTCCTCTTTTTTTTTTTTTAGAGACAGAGTCTCATTTTATTGCCCTGGGTAGAGTGCTGTGTCATCACAGCTCACAGCAACCTCCAGCTCCTGGGCTTAGGCGATTCTCTTGCCTCAGCCTCCTGACTCTCCCTCCTTAAGAAGGTGAAGCCATCCTCTTCCAAAAACACCTCATCCCAATGGCAGCCCAAGGCTTCTTTCTAGGTCACAACTGACACACACCTTATCACTTGTCAGTCCCAGGCAAGAAATAGGTTCGTTCCTTGCTGTAACAACTGTTCTTCTGAATACTCACTTGACCAACAACACAAGGACATGAGATTCAAATGCTGGAAGGTAGACCCAGGGCAGAGCGTCCCACAGGGGGCTGGTAAGTGCTGAGAGAATCCAGAAATGGGGGCTCCAGAACGCCCTTCCCTGAGGTTAGACTCCCACGCTCATCCCTTCTGCCTCCAGGGAAATCAGCTGATTCTCCTCGCCCCCCTACCTCCGAGAATTCTCAGGACCGGTTTCTTAGACTATGCTAATTGTCATGCCAATCTCCTAATGAAAATTCGCTGTCGGGGACAGGAATAGTGCATCGGGATAATCTTTAACCCAGTTTCCTTTCTCTCCCCGCCCCCGCCTCCCCGGCTTCATTAGGCCTCCCGCAGGCGCCTGAGGAGCGGGATCCCCGAGGCGCAGGGAGCCACCCGGCTGGCTTAGCAGGTGGCGGGCCATGGCCAGCACGGCCGTGCAGCTGCTGGGCTTCGTGCTCAGCTTCCTGGGCATGGTGGGCACGCTCATCACCACCATCCTGCCGCACTGGCGGCGCACGGCACACGTGGGCACCAACATCCTGACGGCCGTGTCCTACCTGAAGGGACTGTGGATGGAGTGCGTGTGGCACAGCACCGGCATCTACCAGTGCCAGATCTACCGGTCCCTGCTGGCGCTGCCCCGCGACCTGCAGGCGGCGCGCGCGCTCATGGTCATCTCCTGCCTGCTGTCCGGCTTCGCCTGCGCCTCGGCCGTCGTGGGCATGAAGTGCACGCGCTGCGCCAAGGACACGGGCGCCAAGGCCACGTTCGCTGTGCTGGGCGGTGCGCTCTTCATCCTGGCCGGCCTGCTCTGCATGGTGGCCGTCTCCTGGACCACCAACGACGTGGTGCAGAACTTCTACAACCCGCTGCTGCCCAGCGGCATGAAGTTCGAGATCGGCCAGGCGCTGTACCTCGGCTTCATCTCCTCGTCCCTCTCGCTCATCGGCGGCACCTTGCTCTGCCTGTCGTGCCAGGACGAGGCACCCTACAGGCCCTACCAGGCCCAGCCCAGGGCTACCACGACCACCGCACCCGCCTACCGTCCTCCGGCCGCCTACAAGGACAACCGGGCCCCCTCGGCGACCTCGGCTTCGCACAGCGGCTACCGGCTGAACGATTATGTGTGAGTCCTGGCCGCCAGCTGTCCCGACACTGCGCCCCGGGGGACTGTTGACAGGCAGGAGTTCCAGCACAGTTGACTTCGGGGCTATTTTTGCATCCAAGGAAACAAATGTGAACGTGAAGAAATGTTCTCAGAACCCAGGGAAAGAGGGGGAGTAGGAAGAGAGAAAGCTTTATATACCAAAGACACGGAAACAATCTTTTCTGTTTTTGTATTTATTATACGTATTTATGTGGGTGACTTAATAACAGCTCAGTAAGAGGTGGCTTGGGGGGCTGGTTGGCGGGGTTTGTAATACAGGAATAAACTTTCAGATGTGGCTGTTTATGGAGTGGACGGTTTTCGTTTCTGTTTCCAGACTGCTATTCTGGCTTCTGAGGTGCTGGTGGGAATCTCAGTCAGAGCCTGTCTGGGCCCAGGGTTGGGGGCCGGGTAGTGGTTCTGATCACAGTGCCCCCAGTCCTGACACTGGGGGTGTGGCCACCAACATGCGCAGTGGGGATTTTATTGCTCCCAAAGATACTGGAGCTACACCCACAAAAAATTGTTGCTGCAGTGTGGTTTAAACTCTGAGGCAGGGCAGGAGGGAAGGGGCTTCCTTGGGAAAAAAACAGTTGCCGTAAGTCACAAAATAAGAACAATGTCATTCATGTCTTCTCGTGAGTAATAAGTCCCCTCCAGTAAGAAAACACAGAGTCAGAAGAAAAAACAAAGTGAAATGTGCCTGGTGGCTTTCTAGGGATTCACAAGCCCAGTTAGCAGCGCTACACATCCCCAGGCCCTCAGCCAAACTTCACTGGCCTCTTTTCTGGGGTGGCGGGTTCTGCCGCCACCAGGGTAGGTCCTAGTGTCTGCTGCCTGCTCCTTCAGCTGGAAAGAACTGCCACAAGGGCAGGGTGAGTCCACCCTCTAGCTGTGCCCTGCTCACATGGTCAGAGAGCTGGACCTGCTCTCCTGTCCCTGTGAGCTCACTGCCTTGCCCCACCTCCAACAGCACCCTGCTCCTGCCTCCGCCCAACCCTGAAGATCTGAACACGGAAATAAATACCCATCTGTGGAAGGGCTGAGCCTGTGACCTCCACACAGAGCAGCTGTTACATAAACCCCTCTATTCTCAAGCAGCTTAGAGTAGGGTCTCTAGGACCCGGGTTGTCACTGTAGGGAAGGGAGGTGTGGATCTTCTGGGAGGAGTGGGTGGCACACATCTTGGCATTTATCTGACTCCAAAGAAGTTACAGAGGCTGGGATTTGCCATCCTATTTAAGCCAGGCATTGAGATCAGAGAAGTCATCATTTGTTTATGATGACATGAGCAATTCTAATCTATTCTTTAAATTAGAAAAAGGAATAAATATGAATCAATAAAGAAGAGAAATAAAATCTTCTATAAACAGAACAATATTCTGTGAGTTCCTATGGGATGGTCACAATTCAGGATGTGTGTAGTGCAGTTATTCTAGTTAATGGACCTATTACAGATGAAAGAAAAAACTGCTTTTTAAAAACTTTCTCTGACTTCTATCAGTAAAATAAAAGAAACCTCTCTCCGACACTAATAGTGATGATCATTTTCTGAGCACTTACTACGTGCCAGGCATGCTTTTCATTTGCTAATCTGATCCACTGAGATAAATGAGAACCCAATGGAGTAAACACGGGCAGGCCCAGAGTTACAAACATCAGACTTACATACAGCTCACACTCACGAACAGAAGCTGTTACAATAATAAGGTAAATGTACTTGTGCCAACTTACATACAAATTCAACTTAAGAACAAACCTACAGAACCTATCTGGTTTGTAACCTGGGGGCTGTCTGGACTATTCTTCACCTTGTTTTGCAAAGGAGGAAACCAAAGCACAAAGAGCTCAAGTTACTTGTCCAGGATTCCAGAGCAAGTGAGCAAAAGACCCAAGATTCAGACCCAGTCAGGTGAGCAAGAGGCAAACACATTAACTCAAATAGGAGTGTGACCAATAGTCTAATCACAAACAATAGTTATGTCCAGGCTATTTCCAAATAATTAAGGAAATTGTTTCATAAGACTCTTTCTGGAACCATCACACTGCAGAGTTTCTGTTAACTAGGCCCCGGCTAGATTGGATGAAAGGTGATACCAAACCAAGAGGTCCAAGTTTGAATCTCAGTGGGATACAGGAAGTGACACATGATGGCTCCATTCTATAGTGGGCCAGCTAAGACAGGAAGTCGATCCAAATAAACCTTGGTTCTCTCCCCCAGGTAACAGTGTACTAATGCCATTCCCACATTGCCCCTGGCTCACTTGCTCTCACATGTACCAGGAGTCCTCTGAGGCCCTCTTTTGCCATGACAGCCATGAAATAGATTCCTGTTTCTGCCCAAATCATCAGCACTAGGAGTCTTTCTTAACCACAGTTCATGGTCCCCTTTTGGAAGTATGACACGCAATCCTAAATTTCAGAATGAAAAGTAAACAGGAGTCAGACTCATGTTTTCCAGGAAATTGTTACAGGTATAAATTTATAACATGACCCTATGGATTAAGAAATACTTTCTTTGTTTCTCTAAATCAAATCAAATCTGGCCCTGATTCAGAAAGGTATAAAGTCAGGATGAAAAAAATGTGTATCTAAAGTCAGCCCTCTTTTCTGGTCCCTTCCTCCTACATGTGAGAGATCTCAGGGCCCCACACTAAGGGCTGCCCTGGGCTCAGAAGGGGTGGAAGACTGGCCATCAGTACTTGGGGTCAGCCTGAAACCTTCACAGTCCAGGGGCTCCCAGTGCTCCCCATCCATCCCTGTAAATAGACACTAGAATATTCCACCCTATGTAACCCTGGAGGAAAAAACAACCTATTTCCTGATAAGGTTTTGGGGAAGCCAGCTGCTGAGATGGTGCCACTCCCTTCTTAAACTCAACGCACCTAACTGGTTCCCCTCTTGGCCAGCAGGCCCTAGTGCTTTCATGAGTTTAGTCTTTTGAAGTCAAAGGCCTCTGAAATGTCCCAGGATCCTACTTTGTAATGTAGGCCACATGTAATCCACTGTGGCCCTACCTGGAATTATTTTGAAAACTACAGTGCATGCAAAACTTACATAATAATCAATTACTTGATAGTAAGAAGCCAAAGATGGCGCTAGGATATGCACCCTAAAACCCTGGCCCCAAAGCCCCATATTTGGCCATGATGTCATCCTACTTCTCCTTGCCTGGGTCCCTCTGTCCCTGCTACAGACAGAAAGGACAGCATGGATGGCAACAATCCTGGCAGCAAATATGGGTCTGGACCAGGCCGTAGCAGTGGACAGGTGAGAAGAGATGGGAACATGTCTGAAGGTAGAGTGGATAGGATTTACTGAGGCCCAGTGTGGGGTGTGGAAAAAGAGGCTGTAAGGACAGTTTCAAGATTTGAGAATGGATGAACTTGAGGACGGGGTTACCATTTTCTAAAATAAGGAAGGTTCTGGAAAGAATAGGATTTGGGAGGTAGAACAAGTTTGGCTTGGTCAGAGATGCCTCTAGTAGTGATGCTGAGGAAGTACTTAGAGGTACCCAGCTGGGGGATCAACCTGGGAGCCCTCAGCCCAGAGGTGGCATTGAAACCGTGTAGCCAGAAAAGATCACGTTGGATGTGAATCTAGACAAGGAAGCAAAAAGCCAAAGCCCAGGGGAGTCTCACATCCAGAGGCTGGCAGGGCAAGGGGCCCCCGGACCAGGAATGAAGAGGACTGTCCTGGAAGCCAAGGGAGAGGAGAAGGGAGCGATCAGCCCTGCTGACCTACCCTCTCCATCTTCACAGGAAGTGTTACTATCTCCTTCCGTTCACAGGCAGGAAAGTGGGGCAGCAGGCAGGACAGTTTGCTCAAAGTGACCTAAAGATACACTCGCAGCCTCTTCCCCACGAAAAGACCTTCATGCAACTGAAAATTCAAATTTCTTTCTGCGCATAAGTGATATTCAGTGAAGGACTTGGGCGTGGGTGGTGGGTGTCTGCAGGGGAGCAGAGGATGGGGCTGAGCACCATTCCAGAGGACATGATAGAAACTTGCATCCATCATTAATTCTGAGTGTCCCTTGACTAGGCACCCGTAGCCCAGTGGTTAGGGCATTCACCACATACACCGGGGCTGGCGGGTCCAAACCCAGCCGGGCCTGCTAAACAACGACAACTGCAACAAAAAAATAGTTGAGGGTTGTGGCAGGCACCTGTAGTCCCAGCTACTTGGGAGGCTGAGGCAAGAGAATTGCTTAAGCCCAAGAGTTGAAGGTTGCTGTGACCTGTGACATCACAGCACTCTACCAAGGGTGACATAGTGACACTCTGTCTCAAAAAAAAAAAAAATTCTGAGCGTCCCTGTCCCTGTAGGTTCAGGATTATGAGGATAAGCCTGGAAGGCAGTTTATCACGTGTGCACTGGACAAGTGCCTTGCTGGCGATGAGTCCCGATTTCCCAAAGGCAGTATTTCCAACTATTATAAACAGAATCAGATGCCTGGGTCACGGCTTCAGGCCAGGTCCCACGGCTATCTAAGCATGTTAGCATGGTCCGCAGACTGCGGGGAAGGAACAAGGGGGAAGAGTCCATGTCAGGGGCCTTGCTGCACCAATGCAGGCCAAGAGCAAAAGCAAGCCAGTTGTACCTTTCTTCTGCCGGAAGCACCAGTTTTGTACAAATGAAGTTAGAACTGGCAATGCTCTGTGGCTTAATGGGCACTGTAGGAAGAGAGGAGAAAGCAGAGAAGGCCTGGGGGAGTGACAAATGAGTCAGATAAATATAACTAAGACTTTGAGGATTTAATAAAAGAGCCACCTCTTCTCTCATTGTATAGCGAGGACCCCTTTCTTGCCTAAGAAGGACACGGCAGGGTGTGTGTGTGTGTTTACGAGTGAAAGAGACAGGGACACACAGAGAGACAGTGAGTCACAGGGACAGAGAGACCCAAGAGAAATCCTGAAGTCTAAGGCCTTACATATTTTAAGCTGTTTCTTGAATGAGAAGTACTTACTGGGCAACTGTCCAAAGGAAAACACAGAAACTTCATTCTAGTAAATTATTTTAAAATACTACCAACTGGCTTTTACAGGTGTGTGGCAGGAGAAAAGCATTAGTAAACAGCCCGTTTCCTGCCTGGGAAAGGCCAGTGGAGGTCACCCTGTAAATCAGGGTGGGCAATCACCTGCCTCTTCCTCACCTCACCTCTGCTCTGCTGGCTTCACCAGGGACAACCCTGCACAACGGACAATTTTATTCCTTTCTCTTGGGGGGCTTTCCATTTAAAAGCTCATCACCTTCCCTGTCCCTGCTAGGGAAATGATTAACTGGCTCAAGCTTTCCATCCTGCCGGGG